CGCTGCGGTTCCTCTGCCCCTTCCCACGCACACAACTCTTTGAGAAGGAGCAGGAAGGGCTGGGGCAGAGTTCGGGATCCTTCCTCCTCCCTCGTGTTAATTTGCAGTCATTTGCACTGGAAAAGATGCGAGATTCCCCCGCACCCCTTTCTTTTTTTTTTTCCTTAATTCCTTAAAACGGGATGCATACATGTGCTTGCAGTCCTATTATTTTATTCTCTCATAATTACTGTGGTGCAGTTCTTGCTCTGTGTGTTAAACTGATGGGTTTACTGCGTCTGAATTATTTTCTTCAGCGGAATTCCGTAGGTAAAATATTTATAATACCTTTCATGCTAGCACATCCTATGGCGCTTCTTAGACGGTAAACTTAGTACGTACCAGCGCTGTAACTACCGTTAAATCCAACCGTTATGCCTGTGTAGAAAATGAATAACCAATTTTCTACCCATCAGTCTATAAAGCTGGAAAAGATGTAGTCGTCTGTGCAGAAAATGTTCTGCTTAAATAGAACTCGTGGGACATCTGGCGTGAGCAGCCCATTCGAGTGCGTGAAACACGAGCTGGTCAGCTCAAGTTCTAATAATTAAAATTGCATTTACTGGTTTGCAGTTGCAACATAGCAAGCATTTGATCTGTATCCTTCTTCCCTGAAAAAAAGGAACTGCTGGGTTGTACGGTTATAAAAAAAAAAAAAAAAAACCCACCTAAAATCACAAAAAGTTATTTTGTGCATACAAATGTAGAGGATTGAAGCGGTTGTTACATTGTGGCAGTTTACCTACACTGACATAAAAAAAAAAAAAGAAAGATGAATGTCCTCAAATTAAATCGGTGAGGTAGAGAAAGGGAGTTTTATGCAGTTGATCTCCAAAATAATATCTTTTCCCCAACCAGATTTTTAAAATTTTGTGTAATTGTCTTTAAAAATTAAATGTCATTATAAAAGTAATCGATCAAATAAGTTTTGTGCCTTACACAAAGGGATGCACAGATTCTTCTGTGAAAATATGGACCTTTAGCACTGTTTCATCTTGAGCCATTCAACGTTCAGAATGCTTTAATTTAAAATTGTTATTTCTTACAATTTGGTGAAAGGTGCCCCGGTCAGTACTCTGCACTACATTGTCCTATATTTCTTTTCCATATCTTTAACTCATATCCTCCTATCTTTGTTTTACTGCAGGAGACACCAACAAATGGAATACAAATTAACTTAAGCCTACACGAGGCTGGTGACACCTGAAAGAGGGTAGGGAAAATTGATGCGTAAAGATGTGTTCAAAACTAACTTAACGGTGATTATAATGATAATGGGTGAGCACCCTTAGGTGTGATGTGAAAGAACATACTCATCTGGGTGCCAAGAAATGAACTAACGTTTGTAAATAACTTTGAAAATACAGGAGCATGTGTTTAAATGTGGTCTTGAACTCAGGACTTGAGTTTTTGTAGGTCACCTGATGTTTTGTTTAGTGGTTATTGGGAAACAAAATGATGGATGCTCTTCTTGAAAATATAGCATTATAAATTATTTCTGATTGTAATCTGCAGGAATAATAGTGTGGCTGACTCATTGCCCTCTTGCCCTCTTTCCAACTGAATCCTGAGTTCTGTCTTCACAAATTCATTGCAGATTGACACTCTAGAGGTTTGTCCTTTACAGTCCCAGAAAAGAGCATGTTCGCTGACTTCTAGTGAATATTTTTATTATTTCAATGCAAAATAATGAAATGGATTAAGACTTCTATGCAGGATAGGAAACTAAAATTTTGGGAGAGCTATGAAATACTTCTCTCTGTAAGGCTTCTTTCTATATTTGCTAATCAGCGACATTCAGTTGGTTTCCCAACATTACAGTTGCTATAACTGACTTACCCAACTCTGGGTTTTTTTGGAACCACGTGTTCCCCAGAGAAACTCTTAATGATTGGTGAGATAGAAGTGTCTTTCAGTGAGACACACAAAGGAGTAGATGCAGCCTTTGAAAAGTTTTTGGTGGAAGTGTAAGTTGCTTTAATAAAACTTATAGCAGTAGAATGTTAGAACTTGTCTTTCAAAACATACATATTTTTTCAAGTTTCTTTCTTACAACTCATGGGGTTGGGAAGAATAACGGACTTACATTTCCTTTTTTTCCTTCCAGGGAAAGTGGAGAAGCTGTGCTCTGTGCTTTCTATCTGACCTGTTGGGAGTACATTTTGGAGCATGTTTGCTACTTAGCAGGAAACTGAAATTCAGGTACAATTTAAAAAAAAAAAAGGCAAGTTGATTTTGATTATTCTGTCATTTTATGCAATTTGATATTGTCCTTATGTTGCTGTTGCTGAAAATGGTTTCCCCAGTAATATGTATTCAGTGATCTTTAATGAGTTAAAAATTTGAAAAATAATATTCTTATGGTTGTCAGTTTGTGCATTGAGTCATGCTGTATGATAAAAGTAATCCTGCACTTAAAGAAAACACCCCAAACCAAACTTGGTTTTCTGAATGCATTCAAATTCAATGACACTTGTGTTTTGAAAACATGTTTCCTTCTAGGCACAAGACGTTGTAAACATAAAGAGTGAATATGGGTGAAAAGAAGCCAGAACCTTTGGACTTTGTAAAAGATTTTCAGGAATATCTTACACAGCAGACTCACCATGTGAATATGATTTCTGGATCAGTTAGTGGAGACAAGGAAGCAGAGACTCTTCAAGGAGGTAAGCTAATTTCAGTGCTATCAATTTCGGTTTTTTAGAATGACTGCACTGTTTACATTTCATAATAATACATTCCACTGTTTGTATTCCATAATAATACATTCCACTGTTTACATTACATAATTATGCAGACTACTGCAATTGTATGGAAGCATTTCTGATAGTCGTTTTCACATCACAAAAGATGTGTGTGTACCTTTGTTTTAATCAGGGTATGTTCTTATAGTTCTGTATTTTTAAAGACCGAGGGTGTAGAGAAGCAAAAGTTATTTGACATATTCTCACAGCGTGATAGATAGTATCCCACTGATTCTTGATTGAAATCTCTGTTGCATTATTCACAGCTGGGACAGAAGGTGATCAGAATGGTCTGGATCATCCTTCTGTTGAAGTTTCACTGGATGAAAACTCAGGAATGTTAGTGGACGGGTTTGAAAGGACATTTGATGGGAAGTTAAAGTGTCGATACTGCAACTATGCCAGCAAAGGAACAGCACGGCTCATAGAGCATATCAGAATTCATACAGGTATGAAATATTCCGCAGTACTTCGCTGTGAGACGTTGTGGTATTAACTCAGTGTTATGATTCGCATGTGAGGAGTTAGCATCTTCAAGCAGTGTGATAGTTCTCAGAGTTACTCAACAATTAGAACTGGTTTTTGGGGTTTTTTTAAATCGACTATTGTTTTAAAGGTATGCCATGTACCTATTTAAATTACGCAAACTCCTACTTACATTTATTATTGCAGACTACTGAGTTTGAAGTAACTATATACAGGAGTGAAGTTTAGTGTGAAAGCATCAGTGTAAATTGAAGGGCTTTAAATCCTTGCTAATCAGAAAAGTGAAATGCCACATGGCGATTTATATCGGCTTTTCTTCCTCTGTTGTTTAGCTGTGAAAATATTCCTGTTTTGTACAACATCCTAGATGTGGAAGTACAAAACATAGTAATAAGAATAAAATTTTCTTGTTGGTAGATTATTCAAATGTGAGGGCATATCATCAAATATGTGATTAATAACAGTAATGAAAAAATACTTACTGTGGCTTGCCTAAAAGCATTTACCACTGCTGGGTTTGTAAAGCTGAAAAGCAAAACTCGCAGTGAAGGTTAGAATATCCTAAATTGTTCATGAAGTCAGCTCCAACTTCTTGGGAAATGAGAGAAAACAAACGAAAGGTCCTTGAGAAGTCTGACTTTGGTGCCTGCTGAGTATGCTACACCGATACAGAACACTTTATGGCTGTTAACTAGAGTAATAAGAAAAAAAAAATGTATTCTGCAAAAAATGGAAGTCTTTACAGGTTTCCAGTTTGGTATGGACTGTCCTAAAACTTTAAGTGTGTTATTTTAGTGCTCTGGGGTAGGTGGCATTCTGGGACTCATTTTAAAGGAAACTCATTGTAGCTTGGATGCAATTGTAGCTCTCTTCAGGTACAGTTATCATTAGTCAGATTCTCACTTTGCTGTGAAACATTGCTTCTACACTGTAGCTCCCAGGATCTGTTTTGGGGAAGTTGGTGCTCCTTGCACTGGCCCTGCAGCGTTGGCTTGTTTCAACAAGGCGGAATGGGATAGAAAATGGCAACCAACTAGAAATCAAAGAGTTCTGAGGTTCAGACTCTGAAGATCTTGTAAATTCTTCTCTTGTGCTACCGTGAGCTACCTCTGTGTGTAGCTGTTGCTGTTTTCAGATTCCTAGTGGAAATTTTGTGTAGTTCCAGTAGCGGATAAAATACTGTGGCTTGTGTGCCTGCATTTGACACAGCGTTAATGCCATGGCTTGCTGCAGATCTGCAAAGAGGCGATGTGTTTTGGAGCGTATTTTTGTCTAGATCTTCATAAAGCAGTTACAGCTTCTCCTACCATTTGCCTCATATGGTATGTGGACAACGAGGGATGTTTTTCTTTTAACAGCTTTACTCTGTGCAGTGCTATTTCTGAGCTTGTGAGAGGAGGCTTGTATAGTGCAGACTTAAGCAGTTCGCTGTAGCACTTTAGGATGACTTTTAAATGGTACTTAAAGAAGTAGAAGTAACATCAACTTTAAAATTTCATGTCTTTTCAGTAGCATATAGCTATTGCTATCTAAAAACTTGTATCCCCAAGCCCACACTTATTACCATGAGCAGATGGACTGCTAGGGCTGTGACAGGAAACATAAATTGCTACTGGAAGGTGTTGGTATCGTGTGTTTGCTGATTCTTGAGACGTTTTTGATGGCTTTGGTGTGCATGGGTTTCCTCAAACAGAATGATTGAAATGTGTTGTTACTTAATATCAAAATGTCATAAATTGTAGACATACTAGAGAGCAAAAAATCAAATCTTCCTTCTTTAAGTTTCAAAATGTGGGTATTGGTATGGTGTCAGCATTCCTTCTCTTACTCTAGGAAGTTGCCTACTTTTTGTATACTCTCAGATCTTAGTTTAACAGTTCTTTCGTGTTTTCAGGATGCTTTCTTATCCTGCTGCTACTTTAAGGAGTAGAAATCACTACGTGGCTAGAGATAGGAGAACAATACCCGCTGCAGACTATAAGTATTTTGGCACAATTGTCACATAATATATACAACAGCAAGAAAGATTCCAACCAAAACTTGGGATGCTGAGAAATGTTCTCAAAAATCCCTGACCCAGTGGTCATTATTCAGAAGCAGACATTCCATGAGCTATACAAACTTGGGTTTTAGGGCAAAGCATAATACTTTGGGTTTGTGCCTTGACTAATATTTTGTGTTGTTTCTTATGGTTGTAGTATGTGATATTGTTAGTGTTATGCCAGAAGAATGGAGCTTTACATGTGGGATGAGTATTGTCTCAGTGCTGTCATTCCTGTTAGCAGAGGGTATATACATGACTCATTTGATCAAAGAAACTTTCACAAAGGTGCTAGGAAAAGGTAGCCAAATCAAAGGCACGCGTCACTCTACTGCAAAATCATGCAGTCTGAATTATTTCTGTTTCAGAAAGCTAGCTAGCAGTGAGAGGGGGACACGGGGTGTCAGCCGACTGTGTATCAAAGAGCTTCGGCAATTTGGGCACGCCTTCACACAGGGAACCCTTTAAAGCCAGGTGACTGGTTCAAACGTGTCTGATGCCTAATGAAATATCAGTGACTGTACAGTGATAACCGTTCATTGCCCTGTACCAGTCTGTTCGGTTTTATAATACAGACAAGAATCTCAGGCTGCCAGAGGCCTTTTTCTATATAGGTGCCCCTTTGGCTTTTTACAATACATTTCCTATCCTTAATTTTAATACAGCACTGCATGGTGTCCTGATGGCAACACCATTTTGCCATTCCCTTAATAGCTCTTCAGAAAGCCCTGCTTTGTTTCTTTGTACGGCGACAGGGGAGTCCAGAACAAGGAAGGGTTTTTTGGTTTCGTTTGGTTTTCTTTGGGTTTCTTTTTTTTTTTCCACTTAAGGGCAAGGAGATCCATGACCTGAGTGTAGTTTTGCTCAGAAGCATGGTGGAGAAGTGTGGCAAAGGGCCCAGAGGCGGATTGCATGGACTGTGAAGGCTCAGAGTGACTGAATCAGCATTAAAATAGGGAAGTGATAGCTGACTAGTAGCCTCAGAGCAATGTAAGTAAACAGATAATGCATCCTGGATAACATGCAAGTGCAGCAAGGTATCTGCCAAAGTAATTACGACCCAGGCATGATCATGCAGCCGTTACGTGCAACTTACTGCAGAATTAACTTCATGCTGAGTCTGACAGCAGTGTAATTAGCAGTTCACCAGCAGTGTTGTATTAAGGGCGTGCAACATGGGATGCAAATCTTTATCTCTGTGTAACCAGTTTAGAATGAAATAAGGCTGTTCAGATTGCCAAGTTCTTTGTGAATGCAGGGAGTTTGTCGGTCTTTTTACATTGTTGTTTGCACCAAATCTCCAGATCTTTACACAAATGAATCATATAGGTACTTTTGGAGAAATATGGTTTTGGTTGGTGCAAATAAGGTACCTCGAGGTAGTGCAAAAATTGGTAAGAGCCAGGAATGTAGTGAAAAAAAAAAGATCTTCTATTCAGTATCCCAGGCTGTGATTCCAAACTGTGGGATGCTCAACATGGGAAGGGCTTTCTGTGTCAGTCACATGCCATCTAACAGGGCCCGTACGGTGCTTGCAGTGCAGTAGTAGCCCTCGCCACATTCAGATCTCTGGCTTTTACAGTTGTTCTAGACGGATTTTGAAAGCCACAAAACTGATATATTGCCCTGTATTTAAAATAGTAGGAAATGCTTCCAAAAAACCCATAAAGGCTGAAGAGAAGGAGCCCACTCACATTTTTTTGGAGTTTGTTGTGCTGTGTGGCAAAAGAATCAGTTGCACAACAGTGATTTAGAAATTGACCTGGCATTCAGGATAGGAAGACAAGACAATGTTTCATTTCAGCACCTGAACATGCATCAAATCCTTTAGGCATTTCTAACGTTGTAGACCTGGATCTAAAAACTCTGAAAAGATCAGTATATGCAAGGAAAATCAAAAGTCCCAAAGCATTATGTTACAAGTGTGATGGCCTGTAATTATGTTTGAAAGTTTTCTAAGTACTTTTAAAAGTGTTAATGTGGATATCTCTAAATATCATTTAACAGAAGAGCAAAGTTCTACCTATCAGAAAGGAGAATATCTGGTACTATCATGTCTGAGAGAGCACATGGCTGTCCAGGGATTAGCTGGCTTTTGATTTCTTTAATAACTCTTCAGCCACAGGACCCTTTTTCAAAATTCAGTTCTTGAGTGGATGCATGTGTACATGGGTTATTTAGATAATAGTTCTAGGATGTTTAAAAGTAGGAATGTTTGGAAGATATCGAAAGGATACCCTCCCTCAATGTTTAAACACAGTTATGATTAAGAATGATTACATTTTGGCGGTACAGATGTTCCTGTGGCCAACTGCTTATGTGCTTTATGGGTGAGGTAGAGTTTGGATGCAGTTAAGAGCACCACACAAACGTCATTGCGTTCAGTCCTTGGCATCATTGCTGCAATTTCTATTCACGTCACCTGTTATGCTAATTCCAGTCACATTTTTTTCTTAAGCTTACTAGCATTTGAGTGAGGCAGAGATGTCTAAATTTACTCCACTCTTACACCAAATGCCCAGCTAAAGTCAAGACTAGCAGTGACTCTGAAGCTGAACTGTTTGATCAGCAGCTCCCAGTTAGCTGCTTTCTGTTCCATGAAAAGCCTTTTTCAAGCACTCTGAGATGCTACAGTATAATCTATTTTAATTTTCCAGGTGAGAAGCCGCACAGATGCCATTTGTGTCCCTTTGCATCAGCTTACGAACGTCACCTGGAAGCTCACATGCGATCGCATACTGGTGAAAAACCGTACAAATGTGAATTGTGTTCCTTTCGCTGCAGTGACAGAAGCAACTTATCTCACCACCGCAGGCGCAAACATAAAATGGTGCCTATCAAGGGTACAAGGTCTTCCCTAAGCAGCAAGAAAATGTGGGGGGTTTTGCAGAAGAAGACCAGCAATTTGGGGTACAGCAGAAGAGCATTAATTAATTTGAGTCCACCTTCCATGGTGGTTCAGAAACCAGACTACCTTAATGATTTCACTCATGAAATCCCAAATATCCAGACTGAAGCGTATGAGAGCATGACAAAACCAACCCAGGGCAGTGGGTTGCCAAGAGATCCACAAGACCTCATGGTAGATAATCCTTTAAACCAGCTCTCCACGTTAGCCGGACAGTTATCTAGCTTGCCACCTGAAAACCAAAATCCAGCCTCTCCAGACGTCGTTTCCTGCCAAGATGAAAAGCCTTTCATGATACAGCAGCCTGCTGCACCTGCAGTAGTTTCAGCTGTGTCAGCAAATATTCCTCAAAGTTCATCTCCGACCAGCCCAGATCCTCGGCCTACACACAATCAAAGGAACTATAGTCCCGTGGCAGGTCCCAGCAGTGATCGCAGCGCCCACACCAGTACTCCCAGCATAAGTAACAGTCAACCAAGTACTCCAGCTCCGACCCTTCCAGTTCAGGACCCTCAGCTTCTGCATCACTGCCAACACTGTGACATGTACTTTGCGGACAATATCCTTTATACTATTCACATGGGATGTCATGGATTTGAGAATCCTTTTCAGTGCAACATATGTGGGTGTAAGTGTAAAAATAAGTATGACTTTGCTTGCCATTTTGCAAGAGGCCAACACAGTCAACATTGACTGAGAACATGCTTTCGTTTAGTTTTTTAACATATTACAGTATATTTTTCATACTTGCTGAAGGAAAGCTTGCACACTCCCATAAGGAATCCTCACATTAATCAATTCGACAAAGGAGGCAAATTTATTTCTATGTTGTCATAAAACTTGCCAGGGAAATTTTGTATAAGATGTGGTTGGTATTTTATATGTAGCCTTTCAAAAAAGCTGAGACCGCTATAAGAATTGGAATGCATTTACATGTTTTGGTTGCTAAATTTAAGTTGCTTGCACTTAATCCCAATAAACATTCTACAAATGTAGAAGCAGAGCGTGTGTCTTGAAACGTAGGATGCAATTATCATACTATTTATAGGCAAGACAAAATATATTAACCATAAAATACGAAAGATTAATGCAATGACACATATGGTTACTTTGGAGACAGACTTATCCTTAAAAACTTAGCTACTACTCCAAACTGGGAAAACAAACAGAAGCAACTTTCACATACAAATTCAATTTGATGTAAAACTTGCTTTAATCTGATGAAGGTTAATAATAAGTTTTTGCTTAGGATAGTCTAAACTCTTCATGCTCGGGCTCAAACACTAATTTAACTCTTATTTTTAAAACTTGTCACAAATCTAGAAGATAACAGGTTACTGTGAATGAAACTCTGGTAGGAAAAAGGAAAGAGTTAAAAGCTTGTCATTCACTAGTTATACAAAGGAAAAATTACACGTGACACCTTATTTTAAACCATACTTACCAAAATTTTACATGTCATTCTTTTTAAAAGGAGGTAATTTTTAAACAGTCATAATAAAGAGCTTGTAGAACTAATATATATTCCGTGAGATTTTTAACTGCCTTAAACTAATTTGTACAGATATTTAAAATTTGCACAATTAGACTTCTGTCTTGCTGATAGAAGTTCTAATAGAACCAAACAAGAGGTTTACAAATTACAAATCATTTGTTCAGTTTTTCTCTTGGGCCAAGCTACAACTGATAGGTTGCCAGTATGTTTGAAAGTTGTATAACCTAGTTTACAGTAAACTTCAGCGAACTTGGAAGTCAGTTTGTACTGTCCCGTCCCCGTCCCCCCGCCCCGAGCTGTTGTCCTTTTGGTGTGCTAGAAAAAAAAGGGAAAGGGCTTCTGGGTTTTCTGAACTGTTCACATAGTAGGCAAAGGAATACTGGCTGACAACATTCAAAGCCATTGTGATTAATATTGTAGGTGGCAAATGGTAACTAAAGGTGTACATGAAGTCCATTGCATGTGTTTGGTTTTTTGGTTGTTTTTTTAATACTGTACATCTTTCTTTAGAAGCATCTAGGCTAACGGACAGGCACTTTAATATAAACCTAAATAAAACATCCTAGCAAAATGCATAAAAGCTCTTAATATGTTACACAGGAATTTGTAGTGTTTCAAAAAAGTGAAGAACTGTTACTTTTCCTGTATTTAGACATGCACTTTTACCTTAGTTTGTCTTACTTGAGACAAATTAAAGCTTCCCTTATATATTCCCCTTTTACGATCAGCAAAATACAGCAGCAAATATGTTTTGTTAAAAGCAGGAAGATTTTATTAATGTTCTGCATTAATAAAATGCAGAGGTTGGAATCTGAATAACAAATGTTTGGCTTTTTCAAATTTATATTGTTAGGGGAGCTAAAGCTTCCTGAAGCCAATGGAAAAAACTTAAAATGACTTCAGTGTAAGATCAACGCAGGAAAAACCGCCCTTCTGAGAATTGTAGCTTTAGAAGTAATTTTGACTTTAATGAATTAGAAATTTGGGAATCAAATATGTTTCTCTCTACGTAACTTACCTACAGTTGAATTTTTCCATGCTTAAGTAACCAGCTGAAGGAACTGGATTCTTGGCTGCATGTAGTCTTGTAGTCATGAGGTCAAAAATATGCCATTGAAGTATTTCCAATGTAGTGAAGATGAATGATAACACACTATCACTCCTAAAAACATCTTTGGTTTCAGGCCTGGTTCAAAATCCATTTCAGTGGATTTGTAAAACAGAATGTAATTTCCATTTTTCATAATGACACTGTATAATTCCAAAATATCTCTTTGTTGCTTTATACTTTTAAAATTTATTTTATGAGCAGAACTACAACTCTGTATGCATAAACATACGGAGTTGTTTATTTTAAGGACTAAATTGACTGAACTGGGATCCAGTTGGCAGTTACTGCTCCTGTACATGTTTTGTTACGTGACGCTTCCAGTCAAAGAATAATGTAGAAATGATGGCTCTCTTTTTGGCACATATTGGCACATTCTGAAGTCTAAATTTGGCTAAAACATGGCATTAGAACTACAAATGTTACTGTTAAAGACCATTACAATTAGTAATTTGTAGAGGTCGTTTTCCTTGCCTTTTGATAGATGATGTAAACTTTTATTCCGAGGCTCCCGCATCTCCAGGGAAACTTCTGGAATGGTGGTGCTCCAAGGAGCACCTTCCCATACCGAATGATGCCAATGACAACAGCCAAGTTCGCCTCGGTTTGCGGCTCCAGCCTGTCCCCTCTTGGCATCAGTAGGGAGATCAACTCCCACGTGCACAAATGTTTGAGATTTTGTCCTTCCATTCCACTCAGACGGTTCCTGATCCATTAGGACTTCTGTTGGCAGTGTCTGTAGACATTACAGGCTTTTGTGTCGGTGCATGATTTGGCGATTTAGAAAAATGACCTCTGAACCTTGATGCCCCCGAACGAAACTTTAGATAGAATAGTTACGTCACTAATAGAGGTAGGTGGTAGCAAGAGGAAGCCTGCGTGGTCTTACTGAAAAGGGGCCCTCATTTAGGAGGGGACCCTCTGTTGCAGGGGAACATATGTTCTTAAGAATAGAGCTCAGTATGAAAAAAAAAAATCTAACCTCAAACCTTGCAAATTGTTGCTTAGAAGTATTTTAGTGCTGCTGACTTAATACCAGTTTCTGCTTTGAAGTACCTAAGGAAAAGAAAATCAGCTTGAACATCTATGAACTGTTGAACACTGATAAAACTACTTTTCCTTCTTTCCTCATGCGAGCTCCCGTTTGCAGGGGGATCCTTGGGCGGCAGCAGGCTTTGGCTTTCATCCCTGGGTTCTGGATCTCCCAGCCCTTCACAGAGGGTCAGCCTCTCCACTTAGGGTTCTTAATTTTTCAGCAGAATACCGCGTGTTCAGCTGTGCCAGACAGCACCCTGACTGCAGCTATTTCCTTCCGAGTAGGTTTGGAAGGTGTATTTTCATATCCCTTTCTCATAATTCTGTATGTGCTATTTACTATAATTTAAAGACCAGAATTAGTACTGGAAAATTGTTTTAGGGTATGATCCTGACGATTCCCTTGCACAAGTAGGCCTTACTCAGAGTCAACGAGGAATACTTGTCGGGAATTGTGGGATTGAGTCCTCGGTTAGGACTTTTCATACTGAGTTCTCCGTGTGCTACGCTGCACTAACTTGGTTTTCTTAAAAAACCAAATCCTTATATCATAAGGTGGTGATTAGCATTTTAACTTCTATTAACAGGGGAAGTTTGGGAATGAGCTGAAATTTTTCCACAGCTTGACTCTGTTACGTTCTGTAGTTGCAAAACATTAACTTTGTGGGTTTTTTGTTTTTATTGTAATAGATTGTTTTATAGATTTGTTGACATTTTTAACATGCACTATTTATAGTACTCTTAATACGGACTTACTGTTTTGAGACTGGATATTCCAATGAACATGCAAATATTAGACTGAAGATCTTGGCAGATTATCCCAGTTAATACTTAAACCAACTGTGAAGCAGGTAATAGGGTTTTTTTTTTTTTTTGACAGATACAATGCTCAGAGGAAGAGGATTTTGACATGAAATGTTGATTGGCATTTTGACATAAAACTCAGTGCTGGAAGACACGTTCCAACAGTGTTTCCTAGCAAAATGATCTCTTGCTATTTGTTTTGTTCCAGAATGTTTGGGGGGTTTGCTTGTTTGATTTTTGTTTCTTTTTGACGAAGGGAATGTAATTTAGAAGTCTTCACTGGCAAGTTTTCTATTAATTTTAAGCTTCTTTGAAAATCTACAGCAAATGGATGTTCTGCTGCAGGAAATCTATTCCCTGCTGAAGTGTTTTTCATTGAGCAATCTTTGTGTATGTGCTTCTGCTCTGTTAATAATATGTATTTCAGTGTAAAGAGCATATTTTGTATGCAAAAATGAAACCTGTTAGAGCTGTAAAATAAATTTTATTGTGTAGTGAATGTTTTCAGATGAGAAGGTTAATTCTGAAATAACTCGACTATATCTAGTGTAGTTCATGTTGTGAAGCTTTGCTTTTGTAAGATACGAATAAAATAACACTTTCTAATTAAGTCTTGTGTTAATTCTTCTTAATTACATATGCTTTGACAGCTGGAACTGGTGAGCTGCTCATGACTAGATACGGTATGGAAGGTAAACTTACCTGTTGGGTAAGCAAGGAACAGCGCGTTTATGCTTCAGTCTGCTTAAGTTGAAAATACTTAATTTTAGTGCTGAACCAGGACGCTCTTTTACTTCTTTCCACTGTTAATTTTGCACATTTGGTCATCTTGCAAAACCTTGGTTTGCTCGTACTCCTGTTTCCTCATCAAGTGTGCTTGTATGTCTGAAATCAGGGGTTTGATCATGGTAAGGTGGTTGTCACTGCATATGCAACTTCTATTTTGTTACCAACTTTGAAGGCAGCACTAAAGTTCCTTGCAACACTGGAGTTAATCCTACATGCGTGCAGCTCTCAAGAGCCTTAATTTAACTCCATCTCAAATTTCTTGTTCTTTGCAAAGTTTCTGTCAGGGAAACGAGCAGAGAAGCCAAGAGCCGGATCTAAAAAAGGGGGAAACTGAAGCAGGACTTGGATTAAACTTAGGTGCTGACATCCTGTAGTTCACTGTTAACCCACCTCATGCTTGAAGTGCCGAACTCCATCTCACTTCTTGTTTTTGTACCTTCCCAGGCACGTATTCTCCGGAAGTGCTCCGCTGCCCATTGGACAGAGCAGAGCCAGTCACCGTCCGAGGTGTTCCTGAAAACCCCAGCTGGAGGAGGCTCGGAGAAAGCTGATCCACTTAAGCGCTGCCGTAAGCAGGAAACAGGACGAGGTGACTTCTAGGTGTTCCTTCCAGACTAACTTTTCCTATGATTCTGTGAAACTTTAAAATCTAAGGATGGTTTGTTGTCAGCTTGATCTTCAAAGTCACACACAGTCTGCTAGACTGCATTTCTCCTCCATAATATGGGAAGAGGAATTAAAGAAGGCACAAACCTCCAGAGAAGAAAGCTGTACCTCCCAGGTATTTTCAGCTGTACTGCTGAACTGCATTTTAAACACTCTGGACTCTTAAAACACACCAACATTCTCTATGTCATTATTTTAAAATATATTTATTAACTACAGTGGTTGCCTCATGTTGGAATGAAGAAATTGCACTCATAGCAGGGTCAGAATATTGATTTGGTATGCAAATTTGTTTTTTCAAATTATTTCCTTGCCGCAAGTCTTCCAAAAACTCCGCTTTGAGTTTGTTGAGTTCTTCAGCCAGGCTCTTCATCTCACTTGGGAGTACGTTTTTATCTAAAAGAAAATAAAAGCTGAACTTTTAACTTCATGTGTAAAGGCAAAATTTACAGACTTTGACTCACATTCTACAAACAACTTTGACCAGACTTCTGAAGGAGATTGCCTCAGTCACACCTACAGGGTTGGGATTCCTTAACAATTTACCCGCAGGGAATTTCATCGGTTTAGTCTTATGTTGCAGGCTAGTGCCTGGAACACGCTCCACGTACCTCTTGCATCCTTCATTGCCTGAGAGATGATGCGTCTGCACGTCTGATCAGCCTGATGGACAGCACTAGCTGCACAGATCGCTCGATCTGCTTCCTGTCAACAACAGAAAGGAAGAATACGTGCAAACACATTAAATTTGATTTAGCCTGTCAACAACTTTTGAACTACTTGAACAAAAGTAACGCGGTAGCTGCAACTCGGTGACCAGCATGGTGCGCACCTCCTCCTTTGAATTCGGAGGCGGGTATGCACACCGGGGTGCCTGCCAGAGACAGACATGTGTGACATTAGGAAGTGAATGTTATTTTTTTCAGTGCGATGTGAGAGCTCCCAAAAGGCATTCCTTTTCCTACTGTAGAACATATAATGGTATTCTTAAAAGCTAGTTCAGTGGTTTAACTTAATAAGGTGACAGAAGTACCCACTTCAAATAGGATTAACTTTTCTGCTTATGCTTTTGCAATCAAGAAATGCACTAGCTATTTCTCAGTTTCTGGCATCATGCTGTTCTGAGTCCAGCTGAGGAATAACTAACTCATTCACCATCATCTGAAAGAGCCGTGACTGTGAAGACAAGCAGCGCTACCTTTTGCTCAGTGTTCTCCTCATTCTGCTTCACTGGATTTTCCAAAGCAGTGGCCAGCAAACTAATTATCTGCTCGCTAAGAAAACAAACAAAAGTGTAAACCACATTAATCCAAGAGTTTCACTGAAAATTTTTCTTTCATTTTGTAATGACACCTCATCATGGAAAAAAGTGCAAGTTTTCAGTTAAATTTATGAGGCAATCAATGAAATAATCTTTATACAGCAAGTTAGATGAAAACCAATTACAACTAAAACTACAGCCAGTTGTTTCCAGTCTTAATGTTTCGGACAATTTACATAGATTTTCAATTTCAGAAGTGCAGTTAGGTTTGACGTTAACTCTGCAAAGATTGATGGCTGTGAGCTCCCAACCACGGGCATATATTGTGTGTTAGTTGACTAGTTTCCAAAAAAATCACCCAACAGAATACTTTTTATACACTGTTTAGATACAGTAAAAAGCTTCTACCCGCCCGTTTATGAAAACATTACTCATTTGAAAACCCTAGTGTTAATCTAGTAGCATACTTATCTTCTGGAGTGCAATCAAAACTTTTCAGAATAAGGCTGTTCTGTTCCCAAGCATTTTTCTTGAGATCTGGCATTTCTATTTTTTGTGCCATTAAATATATTGTCTGGTCAGGTAACGGATGACTTCTTAGACGATTTCTCTGTAAGCAGCATTCAAGTGGACAGTCTAAAAATAACTGGCAGAAGCTCAAGGAATCTAAAAGAACACAGACAGACAATTTTACCTTTCAACTGTTTGAGTAATAATTTCCTGAGACCAACATGCACGAGAAAGGCTTTACATGAATGAGTAACTTCTACGCTAGTTCTGAGCCTGGACAGAATACAAGCCTGGAAAGAGTACAAGGAATTTTACCTCCAAGGCTGCTCAGGAAGTAACTTCTGAGATCAACATATATAAGAAAGGCTTTAGGTGATCTAGCAACTTCTAATAATACCGTAATAAAGTTGATGGTTACTATACAGCAGGAATCCAGCAGTCAAGAATGACAAATGTTCCGCAAGAGTACTTAAAATAAAGGCGTTTAAGGAGAAACGCATTTCCCACAAAGCTGAAAACGTTCTTACGCATAGGAACAAAGAGTAATTACATTTGCGAGCCAGCTGGTACACCTCGTATCTCATGCTCTGATAATAAAAGTTGTCATCCAAGATCAGGTAGAGCGGCCTAGAGGTGGCTGCGTGTGTCCGGTAAGGGCCAGCTCCGGCGTGGCT